ATGGTGTTTGATTTATGAAGTTTCAATTGTTCATATGGGATATTATGTTGAGGTGTAAATCAGGTTAATGAAAACCTTGTGAAAAATCGGGTTTATGAATCCCCGTGATTCCAGATAAGACTTGGACTAAGTAAATTGTGTTGGTTAATGCCCTTGATTTCGAAAATGGAATTCGAAAAATTTGTTCTGATTTTTAGAAAGTCCATAATTTCTTTAAAATCAAAGTGGGGTGTTACAGCGCTGGCCATCGAATTAAAGTGATTGATCCAACGGTCAGCAAGAAGAAGGGTTTTAAAATAGCACATAGTAAGAGAAGGTACGGGTCACGAGGCAATGATGGCACCTGACAGGTGACAAGACGCGTCTGAAAAAGGCGGACAAATGGCGAAATTCAAAATTCAAAATCGCGAGAGGGCGGTTACTGAAAAAGGCGGTCGAGTAAAGATAAAAAAATATATACTGTGTGGTCGAAACAAGTGAAGCAGAACCTCGACGGCACGAACACCTTTTACTCTTAGATCGAATCATTCAGACTCGACCAGATTGGGGGGACTAGATGATGTGGGATATTATATACTAGATCGGTTCGTCGGGTTAACCAAACAAAATAGATTAGCGGTCCAACCGAGCGGGACCGAACATCCTCAATGAAGGAAAGAAGGTAAAGATCGAGGAAGAGAACATTCGGTAATGATAGACAAGGACTGGCTGCTCGAGGAGTTGGACAGGAAGAGCGATCAGACGGGTGTGGTCGTGGACTCAACCACCTCGCGTCTCAAGGACAGCTCTACGATCATTGCGGATCTAGTCGAGTCTCGGATAGGATGAATCCCTAGCACGTGGAAGGAGGACACGTGGCGCTTTGCGAGTGGTCCATAGCGATAACGGACTCTGACATTCTCTGACACCTCCGCCGCGTCTTTTGACACCAAAGGTAGTGGAGGCGCTGGCCAAACTCGCCCTACTCGCGCGTGTAGAACAGGTAGCTCGTCCCTATAAATAGGGACGAGAATCCTCACTTTTCGATACAATCTCTCATAGTTCATGTATTTTACACATATATTTCATCTCTCAAGATCTGACTTGAGCGTTGGAGGCTCTTCACCGAAAAACATCCCCGGAGTGAGAGTCTCGTGCAGGTTCCGCATTCAACCGGCGAGGAGAACGAGCTTGAGACGGTTTCCAGTCGGTCGGGGTGCGAGACTTGTATTACTAAGATTGACCTTGAACATTATTATATTTTTTAATAAGTGGTTTTCTTCTATTGTCATTTTCAAACATAATCACATTAAACAATATTTATCTACATACCTTAACTCATAATCCATATTTTATCTAAGATTGAGCTTGAACATTATTATATTTTTTAATAAGTGGTTTTCTTCTCTTGTCACTTTCAAACATAATCACATTAAACAATATTTATCTACATACCTTACCTCATAATCCACATATTATCTAAGATTGAGCTTGAACATTATTATATTTTTTAATA